ACCTTAAAATCTGCAAATAAAAATACCGGCCACTGATCGGGTATCGTGCGCAGCTGCAATAGGACCGGGGGCAAAGGGGTTGCAGCCTGTACCTCGCTGTGCCAAGGAACCACCAACAACCCGTTGCTGCATGTAAACACTGCGATCGTAGTTTTAAAAAAAAAAAGATGCACTCCTGGCAATGTCAGTTGCGCTCTCCTTTTTTCCCCCTCCTACAGCGCCGCAACGCTTCCATATTTCTGTCAATGGGAGGAAACTTTTGCCAATTGAACGGATTGTTACATCGGATCGTTCTGGTTTTTTTTTTTTTACCCTCTTTGATATGTAAAAACGAAATGCGGCCTCCGGTCCATTGTTAGGGTTATTCCCGATGATAACCGGTGTTTCTGACATTCTACGTCATATCGGACGGTATTTGACGTCAATATTTTTCTAACTGGTAGAATTCGTTAATAATGCTTGGACAATGTTTACCTAGATTGGTGGGGTTTCGAGGTATTTAAGGTTAATGTTTGGCCCACGCTTTGTATATTTACGCTCTGCTTCTGAACAATACCTGGCGTTTTTCTTGTTATCTATTAATTATTGATAAAATAATTTCTGTGTTAACAATATAATGAGATCGTGTTTACTTCGAATACGAGTCCAGATTTCATATATTTCTAAATAATTGCAGTTTAGAAATTTTACTTAGACTGTAACTATAAAACATCAAGCAAGAAGTAATGTTTGTCTTACCATTTTTACTCTAATAACTATTAGATGATATATAGAGCAATTAGTAATAATTCAAATTAGTATGGAACAATATAGAAATATATTAGAAACTAAAAACTTATTGTACGAATAAGTGCTGCCAGACAAAATACAAGCTCATTTGCATTCAAGTTTACATATTATGGAATAGAAAGATATAACGAAAAAATCGTCGAATGGTGGAGTAAAAACTGTAGTTCTGAATTATAAGGATTTTGAACGGATATTATCCTGTCGAAAATAAAAAACATCTTTCGGAGAATGAAAATAATGTATGCAATTTACAAGGTGCAAATCGATGTAAAATTACATCGAGAATTCTTTGAAAGAAGTCTTCTTGTAAAATTAAGTTGAACTTAATTCGCGTGACATCAATTTAAAAAGCAACAAGTGACCTTAACATGCGCGGAAATAAAAACTCGAACGATCGACCGAGAGTTTCACGAGGCTCGTTCGAACTTACAAAGCCGAACGCGATCATTTGGAAAAAGAGATCTGGGGTTAAAAGTAAAAGGGGTTGAGTGTCGACGCGATCGAGGGTGGTGCGGATAGATAAATGCTTAGAGGTCGCATTGCTTTTATCGACCATTTCGACATTATAGACGACTACGAACGAAACGAGCCCTTCGCGGTGCATATTTTCGGGAATGAGACGAGAGGGGCGAAGCATCCCTCGAAACCGAAAGCGCAAATATCGAAATCGTGACGTTGTTTGCGTTCAGTCAATACGACGTTTCTCATTTCTCTCTAAAAATTAAATCTCAAATTAGTATCAATCAAATTCCAACAATTCTCAATTATTGCATGGACGACGCGTTCAGCGAGCGGAACGAATATTTTCACGGGTTACAAAGCACGCAATACGCTGAAATGAAAATCATGGCAACGCTTGCAAAGAGCAAGTGGTCTTTGATTCGACCCATCTCTACGTTAGTTCCAATATCAACCGTCTAAGCAAGAGCTCGCCACTGTCCAGCAACCCTTTCACTACCACAAACAGCCTTCAACCCCTTAGCACACGCGGACACGACTCCGCAGACGAGGGAGGGAGGATGATTTTTCTTTGAAACACCGACACAGCTCCGCGGAGTCTCACCATCACGGAAACGGACACGTCGAGAGCGTGTATCGGTGGGGTTGCGCGTATCCTCGTTTTGCATACCGAAAGGGGTAGCTACCCTCTCTTTTCTCGGAAATCGCGCATGACCGAAATCACTTGCGCTCTTTCTCGCGTTGCTCTCATTGAAACATCAAATGAACCACTCTTTCTAAAAATCACGAAACTACCAGATCATTACAGTCGGCGTTATTTTACAAAATTCGACGAATACAAACTCCTAAAAAGAAGATTCGATTATCCCCAAACGCTACAATTTAAAAGTAAAAAAAATTTGATTAGTTCAATAACGCGATTAAACGAAAAATCGAGCATGTACGTATACGGGAATAGTTTTTAAAATTCTATTCTGTCTTTAAGACTTCCTAATCCCGTTGCTCCATATTATTCCGATCGCGTACATCACAATACGGAGCTGATCGTTACTTAAATACAGTCTGTGGAGCATGATCGTCGTTCTTAACGTTCATCTTAGCCTTTCTGATTTCCGCTGCATCCGTCCAGCCTCGCCAATATCAGCGTGTACCATCGCCTCGAAAGCCCCCTTTACATCTCGACGTGCTCGCACAGACGGGCTCACGTACACGACGTCAGCGTGATAAAGTAGAAAAGCACTCTGTTCTTCTTCGACCGGCCAGAACGCGCATCTATCCGTCCCTCTTCATCTTCGTGAAACGTACGAGCGCGTGGTCAGCTTGCGAGACGGGTCTTCGTTCTTCCAACGGTGTCTATTCTATCGTCCTCTTCGTCTTTGTCCACACCAGCTGCGCGGTTCGCCGTCCTTCTCTCGCCAATCGTGTTCACGCAAGCTCCGTCTCCGTCCAATCAACGCTGGCCAGTCGTGTCCGTCTCGGACGAGTTCGGGGATGTTCGTGTCGTTCGCGATCGTCCTCGTCGCGCCCTTGCGAACGACGCGGAGCTTCATCTTCCTCTCGCAATTTATCCCCTTCTCCAGACGTAACCTGTTCACCCACCACCGACGATTCCGTCGCAAGCTTTCACGATCGAGATCCTCTTCGTCGCACGAACGAGTCCCTCGTTGATATCGTCTTCCTCGGAATTCATTCAGTGCCGGCTGCTGGCCTCCGGTTGCCCCATGCAACGAGCTTTTCTCCAACGGTCGCGTCGAGAATCCGGAAGGCATTCTTTAGCAACGAATGGAATATTCTATTTATTCGACGATTTTCTTCGTTACAACAGGGACAATAAAATGTACAAGTTGGAGTGTACGAAACTATGATTTATATAATAGTGGAGAAAGCAAACCTAACCCCGGTTGTGCTGGGATTAAATAAAATTTAAAGGTCTCGTTTGAAAAAAAAATGTACGAGGAACGTTTTCAAATTAAGTTTCATTTGCTTGACACGGAAAAATAGTTCAGAAATATAATTAATACGATATAATACCTATGTATAATCTAATAAGATTATTATTTTATTTGGGCTGAAAAATTGTACATCAGACCATTGTAACTAATTTTTATGTTACATTATTTTTAATACAAATGATTGACAAATACTCAATTTTTCCTGTCAAAGGGAATTAACTATGTAATTTTTAACTCTCTTCTTTTTACGTTTCTTATACTTCCGGTTTGAACAAACATGTGGACGTTAACAGTTTTATTTCTGTAATTCGTTTATATTAAGATTTTCGAATAAAAAATATTATTCTTCGTATATTATACAGAGTAAAAAAAAGAATGCTATTTGTTTCACATAACATTAAATTAGTGATACTATATCATTAACATAATTTGTAAATACAGACTATGTTAGCTGTAATTGTCTGCTATAATAGAGACGGTTATTTAAACGAAATAATATTTTATAAATATATTCATTAAAACATTTATTGTGCACAAAAATGATTTGATTCAAATATGCAAAGAATAAGATAAGTAAAGTTTAATTTTCTTTACAAATTTGAAAAATTTTTTTAATTTGCGCAAGTAGAAATGCAGTATATAAATTATTGGATCATTTAGACGCAATCTTGTTACAAGAAATACACATATATTTACACATTAAAAAACATTCCTTTTTTTACCAAAATGGAATCCGGAGGTCTTAAACCAATTTGTTCTGTTATAAAGAGAAACTTTCTCAAAATTTTTCGTAATTATATTACTGTGCTTTCGCATACATCGTTAAGTAATTAGTTACTCGATTCGTTACTGACAGGGAACACTGGAAGCTGTCAGATCCGAATTTTGATACAAATTTTAGAACATTTTTTCTACTAATATTCTAGACCCCCAGAAACAATACAATATTTATTAAGAACATTTCTCAACGTATATTTTATTTTAAGAATTTGTTATGCATAAATAATGTTAATGACTCCGTTGTAAGGGTTGGTATCTTCCTTGAAAGAATTTCTTCGAGTTTCAAATTGCCAGATGACGCAACATTTGGTATTTTTTAAGCGTAGTTAATAATATTCCAAGATGTACCAAATTACTTATTCAAAAATTAGATCGTTAATTGTGACATGAAAACGTTAAAGAAGGAAATAGATTTCTCGCGTCCAAGAAACTCGTCAAAAATCGAAAAGTAGCAACAACAACAAAACACGACGTATGTGGCGTCATAAAAATCGGTCACCGAGGGTTCACGAACGCCACTCGGGAATTTTTGTTCCTCAGGGGGTAGGAGTCGCGAGCGATGTGTGTCCAGGTGAAAAATCGTCGATTGGTCGAGGAACGTTCGAAATGTAAAATTTGGTATGGTCGTCGGTTCTTTCTTAGGCGGAAGGGTCTTGGCGTATAAGTCAGTCTTTGTCGTTTGTCCGGCTTCACTTTCTCTGTCGTTAGGTCGGTCGGGTCCGGTCGCACTCGCGCGCCTTTCGAGGCTCGGCAGGAGAAGCAGGCGGCGAGCTTTGGCGGCCGATCGACAGAGGAGCCACCGTCCGGGGCAGCGTCCAAGAGGGGCCACCGGCTTGCCTCCGCTGCTGGCCGGCGCGCGTGTTTCTCTCCCTTCGGCTTACAGCATCCGCCGGAGCTTCTCCTCTCTCCGCCTACGCGGTGCGAGTGTGCCGTGTGCGCCAGTGCGCCCGCAAGCCCGCAAGTTCGCGCTCCGCCACGCAACCCAAGCTCTCTCTACCCGCGCGCTGATCGGCCACGTTCGTCAGCCGGGCCCCATGTAAAAAGGCACCGGGGCCGCGCGCGAGCCGAAAGAAAGACAGAACGATTTGTTATTTAAATTTTCGATTAAGTAGCACAAGCAACGGACCGGAAACCGGGAGGGCGAGGAAAGGAAAGCGCAGTACGACGGAAAATTTGCTTTTCTTCTTGTTTTCTGTTTGGCGGAAACGAAAGTACGACGACGCGGTGTCGGCGAGAAGGACACTCGAACGCGCGCGCTTCGATCAAAAAGGTGACAACTCGAGAGTAATTTACCACGAAGCACACGCCGAACGCGGGAGCTGCCAGTGACCGTGACGAACGAAGAGGATTTTACGGACCGCCTTCGAGTGTGCCGTTTCTTTTTTTTTTTTTTATGTGTGAACACCGTTAACACACGTCCTCGAACTGGTCTTCTTGGGATCGACGCGATCGAAAAGGTGAGTCCATGTTCGCTCGCTCCCGGGGATTTTTCTTCGTTTTGAACGCACGGTTCCCCGTCGACGGGGAGGATCGACGGTGCATCGCCACGCGTCGAATATTCTTTTTATCGTCTGTCGTTTACACTTTTTGCTGGGATACGTAGCTTTCATTAGTCGATCGTCTCGAGACGAAGGTTTTACGAATGGTTCATGTTAATATCGTAGAGCAAAGGACAACGTTTAATTGTATACCCTTGAGGGAAAAGAGTTTCATAATTGAATTCGAAATGAGTCTGAGGCGATAGCAGCAACCATGAATATTTCTGATTGCATAGAATGTATCAGGTGCGGCTTTCGAGATAACATTACTTTGATACAAAAATTTATTTGTATCGTTCAGAATTATTTCTGTTGATTAATAGCTTCCTCTACGACGCAAGATAATAGTTCACGTTTTAAGGCGAAGGACGTAGTTTTCATTGGCAATTAAGCAATTTCCTTTCAGTCCGGCTGACTCGTCTGACATTCACGGATACTTTCCCCTTGTCGTAGGTACTTCTCGAGCAAAAGCGCGTCTCCGAACGTGGTGACATTTACGGTGATACTGTGCAATGGTGGTGGTGATAATTGTGGCCTAAACGACACGCTTAACTAACGGGATCTCGCGAAACAATGCGTAGAAAATGAAAATGACGATAAATCGTATCGCAGCGGTCGAACGATGGTTAAGAACACAGTGGAAAGTGACGTTCAGTTTTGAAAATTTATTCAAAGCACGCGCGTAAAATAAGTGTAAAGAAACCTGCTCGCAATAATAGCTGTTAATAAAGTGACGAATGCAAATTAATTTATAATTATTGAATCGAAAGGTAGTCGGAAGTGCCAATAAAATGAACATCAAAGTCACGTGTTCGTTTAATTAAAATATCGCAGATGCGAATATTTTATTCCTCGTTTGTTAACATATCGATACGTGTTGTATTTAACGAGCGTACGTTAATACAAATTTAAATCGTTTTAAAAACAAAAAGCGGATAATTTCTTGGTGAATATAATTTTTTACGAAAATTCACCAGGTTTGGATTAGTGGAATTTCTACAAATAAATAATTTTTTGTAACGAAAATAAAAAATAATTTTAAACCGATTGCCTTTACGTGTAAAATACGACAGAATTATTTTTTAATTCTTATCTGTTCTTAAATGTGTACGAAATAATTTTGCTCTACCGATCGTCTAAAAATTTAAACTACGAATTAAACGATTCAAGAAATGTGTACCCAGTGAATCGTCCGCAAATTGTTCAGGTGGAAGTAGATACTGTCAGATCTTATCCGACAGAAGTGGATTCGCTCGAAGTTCTCTTCCGACGGTAGCCGGCCAGAGCAAAACGTATACAAATAAACCGATAAAATTACCAGTAATAAAAATTTTTCAACCGATAAACCGGGTCGCGTGAAACATTTAATTGCAATACAAAAAAAACATGAAATAAAATAATCGCGTCGAAAAAAAAGAAATCTGCGACATCCTTGATCTTAAACATATCGTAAGACGACGAGTCTATCGCGTGACAATTTCCGCTGAAAAATTCAAAACTAATGTTAAAAACAAACGCGAATTACGTACTCCTGATATCTGTAATAAAGTATTCGTTTCCATTAATTAGTACGCGAAAACGTTAAAGCTTCGATGCAAACTTGCAAGTTCTAACGTCTAAAACAAATCGGTTCGAATAGAATTAACCTTCAAAAATTGTTCGAAATCACATCCTAAGTAATCTGTCGGCAATTTCGCGGCCGTTGTGCCCGCGAACAAAAAGGGACGTAATTTTCTTCGGCGTAATCACTAGAATTCCATTGAGTACGAAAAATTAGGCACTTCCACGATACTACAAAGACCCCCGATCGTACGAGCGTCCCCATCGAACTGAGGGTCCGAAAATGAGTATCCAGCTTCGATCGCGAACCCGGTAGAACCAGTTTCGATGGTCCTGTCCAAAAGGGTTGGAAAAAAAAAGTGCACGGGTAGGCAGTCGTTGCAGGAAGGGTTACTGGCGGAACGTGGCTCGGAAACGTTTTGTTGTCGAAATACCGCGTGGCAGTTAGCGGCTCGATCGATGCCCGCGTATAAACAGCTAATAATCAAACGAATCGTGTCATAAACAATTCCGCGGTCAGGGCGACGGAGTGGTGGTAAAAGTATAAATGAGTTTCGATCGGGAGTGGGGTGCACGGTCATGCGTGGGGGGAGGGTGGCCGGTTCGAAAACCGTGGGCAAAACCGGACTCGCATAAAAATTTCATTCGAACGTCGCTTCCATTTAACCGTTTTCGACTTCGGAGCCTGTGTCGGCGCTCTGTGGCCCCTGGCTACGCGTATCTTCCCGAATTTCGTCGAATTTTCCCTTCCGCGTCGAAGGAATCCTCGAACAGTGGACAAATGTAACGCTCTATTATCGTCGCGATTGCTGAATTTCGAATTGAATGCTGTTGGACGCGCGTCGATGCGCGATTTCTGAGTCATCGGATGCGTGCAAATTTCGCATAGGCTTGCATTGAAACGTCGCGCACTGTGGAACACGCGCGCTTGATCAGGCCCGCGCTGTTCCTTTCAAAAACGTGAACGGTACTTTCGCGTTGAAAGGATTCATCGGCGTTTGTTCTTGTTTCTATTAAATCGTAGTGGCGATTGCACGCGCTGCAAGAAAGAAACAGGCGGTGCTACGCCGGGAAAAGTTGGATAGCCGGGATTTCCTCGGTCCATTCATCTTATTTTGCGACGCGATGCTAGTTCGAAACGCAGTGGGTTTTTTTTTTTTAATGACAGCGTAACGTTGAATCATTCGCTTTCACGACCATGCAGTGGTTAACTGCATCCCTTAACGTGCATCCCTTCGGTTCGTTGGAAGTGTATTACGCGTGCAGAAAATTTGTTTAAACGTCGTACGTTTCCAAAGATTCAGTTTGTTTTAGCGAATAATGTATAATACGTAACAAAGGTTAGGAGAGTTTCGAAATGTCAGATTTTGAGATTCAGAGTTAAATTCGTTTTGCTCGTGTAAATAGCGAAGGAATGGGATTGGAGAGTATAAAATCATGACTAATATTTCGCGTCTCTTGTCGACTGTCAAGTTAACTTTTCCAGTCTTAGTACGTCTGCATGTACCTCTATCGAAACTCGATGTTTGCCCGTCTTCTTTCATAAAATAACCAGTTTCCAACACAGTTAAAAAATTGTCTCTGTCTGATTCTCAAACCAGTCGTACAAATTGTAATAAATGTCTTGACCGACGTTTTTACTCTCCAACAACCTTAAATTCTCGTTCTCTTCTTCGACGCGTCAAACAAACACCAGACGAGTAAATAAATATAAAAATTATTAGGAACGAACTCTTTGTTTCGAAACCAATAACGTTGATAATAATTGTAGCGATCGCATTATTTCGGTCCGTAGTCATTTTAAAAAGTAGTAAAAAATAGATACTGGGTAAAGTAGAAAACGTAAAACGTAGAAAGTAAGTAGTAGAAAAAACGTTATTGAATCCATAAGAATCCTCGAACCCGTAGATTCCTGGTCCCGCTAAGTACCCTTGGAAAGAAACGGGGGCGAAAGTGATCTTGCCGGTCACGTCACGCCGGCACGATGCTTGAACGGGATACGTGCGCATCGAAGATCGATGTGGCTCAAAAAGTTCAAAACAGAAAAAAAGAAACAATACACCGACAACAATATATAGCGACCCTATGAAAAAGCACGAGGTCGTTCCCGTTGTTGTCGTCTCCCGTTGGTGGGAGTCCGGCTGGCCGAGGTGGGAGATATGTGTGTTCCGAGGGTGAACAGTATGATAACGTCGAGCAGGTCGACACGCGATGTATCGGTCGGCGAAGAGAGGAAAAAAGGGGCGACAGGGGAGGGGGAGGATTGAAGGTTGCCCCCGAAAGAATCGAAAGTCCCGTCGAGTCGGATAGAGAGAACGATAGAGGGAGGAAGAAAGAGTAGGAAAAGGGTAAAAGGGGATGGGGGTGAGTCGTGGTTGCTTGCAAGGGCTAGTGTATAGAGAAGAGAGGAAGGATGAGAAAGAGAGAGAGAGAAAAAGAGGCAAGGCTACGAAGAAGGGGTAGCTTTGTATCGAAGAGAGAAGGGGATAGTGGTAGAATGAGGTGGGGTGGAAGGAAAAGTCAGTCGGTGGTAGGGGCGCAAGGCGAGGGTGAGTGGGTTAACTGCAAAACCGATCGTCCGTGTTTTTATCTTAAGACGACTCTCTGAGTAGAAGCAGCGTAGGAGACGAGAAGAAGGGGATCGTCGGTGGTTCTGGAAGGGGTTCTTCTCGACGTCGGAGTCCGGCTGGAGGGGTAGAAACGACAGCGGCGGCGGCGGCGGCAGTGTCGGCGTCGGCGGCGGGAGCGGCGGCGGCGTGCGTCGCGGGGTATAGGGGTTTCTGGTGGTGGCAGTGCTGGACCGGCTGGGGGTGGGTGGGGGTGGCAGTCTCGCTCGTACGGAAGAAATAGTGGGGATAAGACTACCCTCGAAGGCAGGAGTGCGTTTGCGCCGCCACCGTGGAGGTGGCATCGGGTGCTAAGGGTTGCTTATTCGCCCCAGTCCCTGGCGGCGGAGGGGTGGTCTCTCTCTCACCCGCTCACGACGGGGGTGGGGAACCCCTCGTCCCCGACTGCAGGGTTAGGGTGGTCTTTAGGTCTGTCAGTAGCAAAGCGGCGGCCTCATCATACGGAGCTGCCGGGCTGACCAGCCAGGCCGAAATCACTTAAGACGCGTACACCTTGTAACATAACCACCGTAGAGGCGCGCGCGCGCGCTCCCGCGTCGCTCGCACCTACACCAACACGCGTATATACATACACGTACATACATCAACCTAACACATACATACATGTGCACACGTACATACACACGTAAACGCACGCGCGCGACCAATTCTATATGTATATAACCCCATACACGCACCGACCCTGTTACTCGCATACGCACAACCGACGAACCATCCAGGCCAATCTGCACA